CATTAACATAAATATTTATGCTTTTTTTAAATGAAGGGTCCGGCGCAACAACCGGATAACTCCACTTTTTTTAGAAATTGACTTTTTGATTGAATAATAACAACGAAAAAATTCTTTATCTATGGGTGCAACAACAGTATATCTCCGATTATTATATACGGAGATAACGCATAAAATGGAGTTATCCGTTTTTGTAATTCGGTGCAACAAACGGATAACTCCGGAGTTATCTGGTTGTTGCGCCCAGCTGGTCACACTGATATAAGCACGTTTTTTTTGATAAAATCTTTATCACTGATGTTAAAAATCACCTATAAACCGGTATAGAGATTTAATATTAACGTTTTAATGTTAAATTGGTGACTCGTGGAGTGTGAAATGTGAACCGTGATTCGTGTTAGACATGTTATAGTATTTTTATTGTGTTATATCTACGGGAACATTTTAACTCCGCAATTAAGTATGGAAGAAAATAACATTGAGTTAATATTAAATGAATCATTTTCTGATTTTGACGATGATTTTATAGACCCAGATTTTATTCCTAACCAATATAATAGTGACAATTCTCTTGGCGGTATACAATTATTAGAAAGTGATTCAGAGTCCGAAATATGTACTCAAGAACCAGAAACTGATATTGTTGTTGTAGTCAATAGTTCAGATACTGTAGGTAGGTACTCAAGAACCAGAAAATGATGCTGTTGTAGTCAATAGTTCAGATACTGAAGAACCAACTTCATTCATCCAAGGAAAAAAGAGAAAAGTAAATACATCATTGTGGGTAAGAAAAATTGCAAAAGTTGAACGAGCAAAGGGTGTTGCATGTGTTAGTTTAAGGCAAAAACCAATAAAGAAGAGACAAACTGGACCTGACTGCATGTGCAAATGGAAATGTTTTGAAAAATTTTCAGATGAAGAGAAATCTACACTCATTAATACTTTTAATAAAATTGGAGATAAAGAAAAGCAAGACATATTCTTGGGAGGCTATTAATTGGTATTAATAGTATTGTAAGACATAGATCTGAAAATGAAAATTGTACTAAAAGATCA